GCCTGGTCTCTCTGCATGTGGTGCCTAAGCTGGGCACACCCAGGGAGCCACAGGGCTTGGCCTGAAATGCTGGAAATCCCTGCTTGGCTGTTCCTGCAATACCATGTAGGCAAAGTTCCAGGGAAAGTCGTATTATGGACAAACTACAGAGTGGAACCTAAACTCTTGGTAAAGTGTTAAGATGAAAACTGGAAGCCTGAGATTAAATTACCCTTGGTAGGCAACAGTGAGGTGCTTTGACAGAACCCCAAGAAACCCTACTTCATGCTAATCAAATGCACCTCAAAAGGAGTCATGTTTCTGTGTGAACATCATGATGTACAGGAGAGGAAGTTTAGCCCTCGGGATGCCACAGTTCAACCACGAACTGCTTTCTGTCTGTCTGTCACCACTGCCATCACCACCGGCACCACCTCTCTGTCACCCAGCACTGGCCCAAATCCCGAAGATTCAGTGTCTTTTCTTAAACTTGTGTTTGTGGCTTAGTATGTTCATCTTTTTATCAATGTGTGCTCTTCTGTATTTTACTATTATAATACATTACTGTGATTTAGTACAACAGATAACAGTTCATACCAAACAGTGGTCATACAATGGAATTTTGAACACCATTACTTTGCACAAATCTTGAAGTGGGCAAAAGCTCTCTGAGTTTATACACTGAGAAGACAAGGTGCCAGGTATAAGGCGGCAAAGACGAAGAAGACAAGGAGCCCGTCCTCCAAATCTCCACTGACTCCTGCTGCGGAAGCAGAAATAAATCAGTCACGTGTGGAGTGCCATAATTTGAGCCGACACATCACCCTGAAATGGCTCAGGGACCCAAAGAAACTCCGAGCAGTGCAGGAGAGCAGCAGCAAAGGGATGGGAGGGGAGGGAAGGCAGGGGCTGACTCCTCAGTAGGGGGGGCATCTGGTCAGCTACTCCAGGCCACAACCCAGGAGCTTGGCTCAAGGCACTGCCCCTACTGGATGCAATCCGAACACCATTAAACTTAAATTTTTAAGTTTCTGTCTTATATTCCAAGGGACCAAGGACAGATGCTGCAAAGAGGCTGCTCTTTAGTTATGTTTTTCTTGGAAAACCCCCATCGCTCGATGGTCCTCGGTTCTAACCTCAGGGGAACCCAGAGTTAGGAAAAGGGCACGAAATATCAAAGCAGCCACAAAGGGTTTGAACTCTGCTGTTCACTTAATGGGAAGCACTGGCACATTTTGAAAACCCAAAAGGAGAGGTTTTAGAGATGTCTCCTCCCTGGCAGCACAATAGTTTTGGAGTAAAGGCGGAAGAAAATCCTCACAATGATGTTTCCTAAGGATGTTGGCAATCTGAACAAAGAAACAGCGCAGATAAGAGACATTACGCCCCCTAATACTGCAGTCACCCACCCTGGGCTGGGAGGAACCCCCAGTAACCACTGCCTGAAGAACCCTTCCTTCTGCCAGGGTCACCGTAGCATCTACTTCTGACCAAGCCAAGTACTTGAACACCTTAGTGCATAAAGACCTTTGTTTGCAAACAATTTGGTTCACAAACAAAAGTATTCAGCAAAATCTTGCTGTTTGCAAACTCTACATTGGGTGACAAACAGGACCACAGTCATCTTCCCCACACAAACACAAATGCAGCAGTATTCCTCCCAAATTGTAACACAACTTAAATTCAGGAACTCGGGTATCCCATTGGGACTTCAGCTGATAGGAAGGTAAAACGGAACCTTCCAGAACTTGAAGCCTGTCTTTAGCTGAGCGACCTCCCCCAAGTCACACTTAACTTCTAAGAGCTTGTTCCTCCATTTGTAGACGGGGTGATCACATATGTGACAGGCTTGTTTAAGCATCCTGTACAGTGGGAATGCACTTCAAGACTAAGCAGCCCTACAGAAACTGAATGCAAGAATTATCCACAGAGGGAATAAGGTACCATCGAAGAACACGGGCCTACTTTCTCTATGAAAAACCTTTACATGTATTTTAGAGTCTTTCAATCAGGGAGGGAAAGCACTCGCATTTCTTGCTAGATTTATTATCATCAAATTAATATACTGTTTGCTTGTTGGTTGGTTTTGACTCTGAACATGAAAATAGTCATGAGTCTCAACTTTGCTTGAATTTCTGGCTCTATAAAATACATGAGTGAAATCACCATCTTTTGAAATGCCAGGTTCAGACTAATCTTGTTCCTTTCTATTCTAGCATACCTCACGTTTCCTCTTTCTGGTTTGTGTTTATTCTTCTTGGATTCGGTACTTGTGTCAAGAATGAATTACTTCATCACTTAGCACCCTATGTGCAGAACGTGACGCTAGATACTGCTCACTATTCCAAAAGAAAAACAGTTTTGGAATCTTAAAAGCGAAAGAAAGAAAGACGCAAGCATTCTACTTTCAGAAGATTTCTGACGGTTCCTGTTGACCTTCATGTCAGCCAAAGTACAATCAGTACACCCAAAACACACACACCTGAAGAGTGGAAAGGTTCATATAAAGAATTACTAAGCTGCCAATGGGCACTGGGTACTGAAAGTGGAAAGGAGGCCAGGAAAGCATGCAGGAGTGGTGAATACAGGGAGCAACCACTGAGTCCAGGCGTGGAAAAGCAGGAAGTGTAGAAAAACTCCCCTAAGCTCTGGCCTTCACTGTTGAAAGGCTGAGTCCACACTCACTGGAGACAAGGTGCGTGGGCCACCTGTTGGCCAAGAAATGTGTTAGCGGATTGTGGGGACCACAAGAAGCATTCAGAGACCGGTCTTGACCTGCAGGGAGTAAGAAGCACAGGATGAACCAGCACCCCTCCTGGACTCCTCTCTCAGTGAATTCGCAGGATGAGCATCTTCCTAGGAACTCCTGCTGCACTGTTTTTTTTCTAATTGCTCCTCACAAAGGAGCAGACCGAAGGCTGAGGAACGTCACACATCAATTACACAGGCAGAGCTCTCTGTGGCCTGCACACTAACCACAGGACCTTGAGGGACAGCAGCTTCATCCTTGATTAGATCAGTAGTTTCCCAAACACTGGTCCCTGCATACACTGATTTCCTCACCTACAGAAGAGGACAACAGTCGCGGCTTTACTGCAGTATCAGGAGACATAAACCCAAGGCAGTGAAGCCTGCAGCAGGACATGACATACAAGGGAACTGGAGCTCAGGGGAGGGTAAGAGACCCAAGTGCCTGTTCCATTCTCATTGTGGGCCCATTTAGGACGTGCTCATAACACTTTGTCTCAACTTCTTAGATGAGCTTGGGTCTTGCTTCTCCTGAGCGGCCTGCAGCTCTGGCTCCAGACCACTGCTGCCCCGCCAGCCCGGGCAATCACTGAAGCATCCTCCCAAGCCAGCCAACTCCCTGAGGTCCGCCCCTCCGCCAGTGAGAGCAGACAGGAGGATCAACAAGCTTTGCTCCTCTGCCATCGCCTCCAGTTCCGACCTAATTTGATCTCCTCCCCAAACAGCGCGGGAGGGAAAGAGGAAGGAAATTGCCATAGCGAACGCCTACCTACTGTGCCAGGCAAGCGCCTGGCATCTCCAGCTAAACACAGCCCTGGGTAACAAACAAGGAAGCCGAGGCCCAGGGAGGCCTAGCAGATGCCCCAACCTCACTCTGTCCCTGAGTGGTCATAGCCCGGATCCTCACACGCGCTGTCTGGGGGTCCCCCAAACATCTTTACCGCTCCTGCTAGCCTCCTCCAGGCTTCACCTCAGACATCAAAATCCCAACGGCTCATCGCTCGCTTTTCGGGCTCTGACAGAGAGATGAGTGGGTGTGGAACTTTTTTTTTTTTTTTTTTTTTTTTGCCTGAAACGTATTATTTGAAAGTTAACCAAACGAAATCACAAGTTACAGGGTTTTAAAAAAAAAAATCACTCTTAATGTCTCACAATCCCTACTCCAGAGAAAATGAGTGACCCCACCCTCGCCCCACCCAAAGCTTTGCCCTCTATTTTTTCTCCTGGTTGTCAACCCTGGCCAACGAAAAAGGGCTGCTGGGGCTCAGCCTGGCCAGGGCATCTGGCCCAACTCCCGCCGAGTTGCCGGCGCCCCTCCGCGGCATCCTCCTGGAGGCGTCCCCTCTGCACCGCGGGAAAGGGAAGCCCTCCGGGGCCCGGCCCACCCCAGCCCTGCGCTCACGGCCGGCGCGAGCGCGCGACGCGCTTCGGCTTCTCCCCGCGGCGGGGTCCGAAGACTTCTTTTCTCCAACTTTGCCTTCTCGGCGAGGACTTTGGAGAACTTCGCGACCAGGACGCGGCGACGCCCTCGGGCTCCGAGACGCCCTCCCCGCCCGGCGTGGCGCGCGCTCCGGCTCTCCGGGGCGGGACGCGCGCGCGGGAGGCACCGGCCCGGGGCGCCCAGGCGGGACCTCGCTCGCTCGGCCCTCAGCCCGGCCCGCCGCCTCTCCGCCTCCCGGGCCGGCCGCTCCGCCTTCACTACCGGGTCACGCGGCGGCCGGGGCGGGGGCCGAGGGAGGAGGAGACGGAGGCGGGGGAGGAGGGGACCGCGCGGCCCTCGCCGCCCGCCCCGCGCGCGCTGCCTCCCCGTGGCCGGTCCGGCGCGACCCGTGCACACGCACACGCGCACACACGCGCGCACACGCGCACGCACGCCGCGCCGCCGCAGCTGCATGGCCCCCCGCGAGCCCCGCGGGCGCGCTCCCCGCGCACCGCGCACCGCGCAGGAGCGGCCCCGGCGCCCCGACCTCCTCCCCGCCCCCGCCTCGGCCGCCGCTCGGTGCTGCTCGGCGCCGCCTCGGCTTCCTGCGCGCCGGGGCCGCCGCAGCCTTGAGTGTCGCTCCGGGGACAGCGCCGCCGCCGCGCCGGGCCGCCGCCTCCGCCCGGCCTCCAGCTCCGTCCTCGGCCCGGCCCGGGAAGAGCGGCTGCGGAGCGCGGCCAGGGAGCGGAAGGCAAAGTCCGCGCTCCGCACCGGGCGCCCCCGTCCTCTCCTCACAGTGCTGCCGTCCCCTGCCCCCGGACCCCAGAGGCGCCGAGGGGACCCACCCCACTGCCATGTCCAAGAGCTTGAAGAAGAAAAGCCACTGGACCAGTAAAGTCCATGAGAGTGTCATTGGCAGGAACCCGGAGGGCCAGCTGGGCTTCGAGCTGAAGGGAGGCGCCGAGAACGGCCAGTTCCCCTACCTGGGCGAGGTGAAGCCCGACAAGGTGGCCTACGAGAGCGGCAGCAAGCTGGTGTCGGAGGAGCTGCTCCTGGAGGTGAACGAGACCCCCGTGGCGGGGCTCACCATCAGGGACGTGCTGGCTGTCATCAAGCACTGCAAGGACCCCCTCCGGCTCAAGTGTGTCAAGCAAGGTGAGAGCCGGCGCGGGGCAGGGGTGCGACGCGCGCGCGGGGCGTGGGTCCCCGGGACCCGCCGGCGCCCGGAGCGCAGGGGCCGAAGGCGGGGTGGCGCGCAACTTTTGTTGGCGCAGTCGGACCCTCCCCTTGGGCAGGGGCTCGCCGTGCTGCGGCCGGCTCCGGGCTCGGGGCTCGCGGGGCTGAGGGCAAATTGCGTGTGCGTCAGTGGCATGGCCCCCGAAGGATGGACAGGGAGGCAACAGCGAGTGGAGCGCGCAGCGGCATCACCGCGGCCCGGCAGGACCAGAGGGCGATGAGGCTCGCGGAGAGCTGCATCCTGCGCTCCGGGAGCCCGGCTGGATGGAGAGGATAGGACACGCCTGGGTCTACAGCTGTCCCCTAGGGACCTCTGCGCCCCTGACTAGCAGGAAGAGGCAGGGATACTTTGCTTTGGGCCCTTTGACGGGTTTTCGATAACTTTTTGCCAGCCACACTCCGGTGTCCCCCGCCCCCGCCCGCGGTCGTGTCATGTGGGTACCGCGCGTCACGTGCGCACTGAGTAACCCGGGGTTCACCCCGGCCAGCGGCGAGGAGGAGGCTCCGGAAGACCGCAGGCTGGGGCGCCGGAGCCCAGGCGGGCGCTGGGGCTGCGGGAATGCACTTCTTTGGGGTTGGGCTCGCTCGGGGAAGTCCTCGGCTGGGGCTTCCCTGCGGCTGCTAACCCGGGGGCGTGTTTCTGGGAGGAGCTGGATGGAAGCGTTGCGGCGCTGGCTTCTCAGCTCCGACCTGACTCTGCTGCTGCGCCTCCACAGGGCTGTGTGGCGGGGGCTTGGGAGTCTGGCGCCGTGCAGGACTCTCCAGTCCCCAGCCCAGGCTGTGTCTGCTTGAGGGGAGGCTGGTTAGGGTCGGGGAGGAAGGAGGGAGTGAAACAGAAGTTTGAGTGCAGAAAAGATGCACCCGCTCCGCGTGGGATCCCATACGTGTTGTAGCTGCAGGAACCTTTACCTGTGGCAGGCATGCATGCACGGTAGTGTATGCCTCAAAGGCCAGGTTCAGTGAAATTCCGGAGATCCTTTTTAAATTTAAGCTGTTTTTAATCCACCCAGTGATGAGCTATCCGTGAAAAATACTCTTTATAGTCTCACGTAGTTTTTTAAAAATAATGAATTTGCCGTTTCTGATAATAAAGCTTTTTTCCCTCAAACTGTTGTGTTCTAAATTAGCAGTTGGTTTGTGATCTCCTTAACACGGCAGACCCAGAGGAAGAAATTTCCTGAGTGATTTTGAGATCACCTAAAGAGCTAAAAGTTCTGTTCTTTCCTTTTTCTTTTGCTTTTAGCTTTGTCTCCAAAGTTGGCAGCAGCCAGTTTGATAGGCCATGTGCCCTACATTCCCTGTGCGGTGGCTTCTAACGCGGCTCTTGCTGTATAGGGACCCACATAGCCTGGATTCCTTTCCCATTTAATATCTCACGGTGGAAGATAAAAGGCACAAAGTTCTCTAATTCTTCCATGTGGAAGGCGGGCCAAGCAGGGCCTTTGAAATGTAGTTCTCCAGAGGATCCTGGTGCTCTACCTCCTCTGGCTCCTTTCAAAGATGCTTCAAAGGCAGGTGGATCCTCAAGCAGGGAGGCACCCTTTCTTCTGGGGTGACCTCCAGCTGGCATCACAGAATAAAACCTCCGTGTTCCCTTTAATTTGGAAAGCTGAAAACAAACTATGCGAGATTTCCTGCCCACAAAGCCCTAGTCTCCTCCATAGAATGTGAGTTGTATGATTACTGTTGATTAATAAAATAACCATAAACATTTTGATCAGTTGATTCTTTTAAGAAACAAAGCATCTTCAATGCTTTGGAATAATATTAGTAAGTCAGTTCTCTTTGAGTCAAGTTCATGAGAGATGCCCTTGTGGCTTTCTGGAAAAAATATGTTATCTTTCTATATAAATACAAATATATATACATATAAATATCTATAACTAAATATCTGTGGATCTCTCTCGCTCTGGCTGTCTCTGTGTGTGCATTTATTTCAGCGCTTTGACCTTGAATGTTAAATATGGTCCTTTCCTTGCCTCTGTTTTGAATGAGAGTGATCACAGGGTCCAATGCTGGCTGAAGAATTAAGCAGCACTTTCTCTGCTGTTACCTCCGTCTCTTGGCACATTTATTATGCTCACTTCCTTTGTAGTTGCTTGAAATTCACACCTTCATTTTCATAATGAGAAAAAAGTTTGCACATCTGACCTCTCAGATTGCCTGGAGTTTGACGCTAACTTTCAAACCCATAGCAAACCTTGGCAGGACCCTCAGCCTCGGGAAATAGGACAGAGAAGTGGGAAGGCCTGCTCTCTCCTGCATAGATTGCCTGTGGTAGACCCCTCCTTGCCTGTCCTCTAAACGGGTCACCAATCAGACAGGCTACTGTGACTTTGAAGAGTAAATAATCCATATTTAAACCATGTACTGTCAGGCAGATGGGCAGCACTAGGTAGACGTTAATGAATTTTATGTTAGACACATTAATCATTTTGAACTAAAGACATGATGAAATATTTTTTACTTTCAAGGTATTCATTTTTCAATATTAATCGGTATTAAAAATATGTGACGATTGACTAATAGTATAAGTAATTTGCAAGTTGTATTCCTGAGGTTTTGTTCTGCAGAATAAAATGAATCCTGTTTTTGAAAAGCATTTCTTTGAAAAATAATGTCATTAAATACAGTAGGACATATTTTCAGTTTTAAAAAATAACTCCCATTAAATCTACCTTTTTGTGTACAGATAATGCTATTTGTGATATATTTTATACTTCAGAGATAGCTTATATTTTCCTTGTAGTTTATTTCTTTTATGGTCTTATCTGTCCTTCTCAAAAATTGGTGAGTATTTTGAATTGTTTAAGCTTGACAATCATAGACATTTTATTGGAATTCGTTGAGCTCAGAAATGTATTTATAATTCTTAATTTATTTCTCAGCTACAAATAGTGTTCTTCATAAAGGAGATCAGAAATAAAACAACTAAATATTAAGTCATCAGAATCAAAAATATATTAAAATAAAAATACGTCAAAGTCAGCAAGAAGTACAGTTTGCACTTTTGAAAATAAAAATAGGATAATAGAAATACTTTTCTATATGAACACTGTTTACAAGATCATACAACCAACAGTATTTCACGCCTCGCACCCTGGTAATTTTAGCGTTTTAGTTGGATTAATCACATCTTACAATTCAATAGAAACTTCCATCTTAAAGTTCTACTGTCAGAACATTCTCAAAAATCTTTCTTAGCTATATCCTGACCTTTTATCGCAAGAACCATGTAACAGTACGCTTAGCTTTCTTAGTGTTGGCACTTTTGAAAAGTTATTATCACCTTCCATTTCACTTCTCTTCCACCTCCAGTAAGTACAGATGTGATATTTCCTTTAAAAAGTAAATTGTTACATAAGTAATTTCATAAGAAATTCATAAATGCTGAATTTATATGATTACTCAGAGACTTGCATAGAGATAGGAATCTCTTGAAAATGTACTCTTTCATACCATTGTTGACAGTTACTGCATTTTTTGACATTTTATGGACTCTTGATGCCATTTTGAGATTACTGTTGTAAGGTCAAGGCTTTGTGTGGGGCTGATCTGTAGTGCTGACCGCCGTGGCCGACACACTGAGTTTCCTTCTGGCAGCTGAGTGTTAACTCAGCTGTGTCCCCTACATCTCTTTCAGAAGACCCTTTAGGGGAATGAGTAGGTGCTTTAGATGGGTGCTTGGTTCCTTTCATTATTTGAAATGATTTTGTGTCTTGCTTTATCTGGGAAATGTTTTGTCCTCCATGTACTTATTACATGGACTCATGTGAAGTTTTGTGTCTTTCTCAATAGTTTTGGTTTACTTAAAAATTCCCATCATTACTATGGTAGTCATCATAACCCAAAAGAACCAAATACACTCATTGACAGAAGAAACTGTAAAATAAAAGGTAGTTTTTCTATGCTGATTTTTCTAATGATAAAATCTGTAGAGAAATTTTATGAACCTTTTAGCTGGCTTCAGAGAAATGTCTGTATCCATATTTCACTATATATTTTATACATAATACATGTACGTTGAACCTTAGTGTTTGAACACCATATAAATATATATACGAAATCAGAAGCTTTTCCATAAATACCTTGAATATTATTGTGATTCTGTGCAATGAAATAGCAAGAAACAAAACTATTTAATTTTTAACTGTATGCTTTAAAATATATCTTTCTTACTACACTCTGAAGAGTCCTTTTTTAAAAAATAAACATGTATTTTCCACATGCTACACTGAATTATTTATATTCCCATGGATCAACAGTCGCACAAAAACTGACTTTACATTTTCCTTTAACAGATCATGGAGAAAACTGGAACAAAAATATTAAGTGCAAACCCAGTTGTTCATTCACATCTGAGCAGTATTGCCTGCCCTAAAATTCTGCGATGCTATGGCTCATAACATGCCTATTTAGTTGGAGTATATGTGTGAATACAATAATAACAAGTGCTGTGGAAATCCACAGATTATCTAGGTGTGGTGGTACGTTCCTGTAATCCCACCGCTCAAGAGGCTGAGGCAGGGGATCACTGTGAGTTCGAGGCCAGCCTGGAATACATAGTGAGACCCTGTCTCAAGAAAAAAAAGTCCACAGATTAATAGGCCAACATATCCTATGCTTCTTAAAATCTGATTAACCATACTCAAACATAAGCAGGTTTCAGAGATAGGAAATGTCTAGTGATACTTAGTCTGGGAAGCATTATAATGTGCCAACCCTAGATTGCCTCTGTCCGTAATCTATGCTGTAAATATGTTAAAGGACCTTCTTATTAATGAAAGTTCTTAAAAGTTGGGAAGTACTCAGGCTTCAAGCGTCTCTGACAACTTCCCTGGCATCTTGTCTTCCCTCCGAAGTGCCCTGTGTGGGGTGAAGTGTAATCTCCGTTTCCTTGCTAGAAGGTCAGGTGCTTA